GGGTCTGAGGGAGGAGGGAGGTGGGGGCCTGGACTCCCGGGTCTGAGGGAGGAGGGTGCTGGGGGTCTGGACTCCCGGGTCTGAGGGAAGAGGGATTGGGGGGCTGGACTCCTGGGTCTGAGAGAGGAGGGACTGGGGGCCTGACAGGGAAGGGCTCTGGGAAGTGTGGGGGGGCACAGCCCCAATGCTGCACTCCTGCCCCTCCACCACCACAGCTGTCCTCTTTTGTCTTATGACATGTGCATGGGAATCTGATCTGAGTGGGGATTAGGAAAAGGTATTTGGGAAGGGACTGTGGCCTGAAGACAATAGCTGCCCCACCCCCCAAAGGCTATTTTGGGGGGATGTCGTACATGGTGAAACAGAGGACATTTCCTAAGAAGGGATTCAAGGGGGGAGGCTCCTGGGAGAATTAGTCACACCCGCTCCCTCTCACACACACACACACACCCCGCCCCGGGCTGATTATCTTCCCACCTGTCCCCTCCTTGCCCCACCACCCACAGCCTTGGAGGAGGTTGAACTCATCAAGAGCAGCCTTGTCCATAGACCTCATCCTGACCCCTACATAGACAGCACCCCACCTTTAAGGTCCCCCAGGACCCACAGTACCCAGGTTAAGAGCACCCCTAAATCCTGGGACCCCAGTTGATGATGCCCCTGGTTTCTGGGGACAAGCAAGTCCTCATGTCTCCAGGTTCTGAGACCCCAGTTCCTGAGACTCCACTCTGGGCTGAGACATCCTCAGATCTTGATGCCCTAGGTCTTGACACCTACATTCTGAAGCCTCAGAATCTTGAGACCCCAAAACCCAGATGCCCAAGCTCAGAGGTGCATTCATGATGCCCCGAATTTTGACACCTCCAGTCATAAGGCCTCAGACCTGGAGACCTCAATTCTCAAATCCCCAGAGGCTCCCTCCTGACCCCCAGACCATCAAACAGCTAAGCCCAGAAACCCCCAATTCCTGAGATTCCCTCAGATCTCAGACCTCTTCAGTCTGAAGGTGTTATATTCTGGGACACCCCAATCTTGGCACCCCAGACTCTGTAACTCCCAAATCCTAATACCTCAGTCCTCAGTCCCTGTGAAGTCTGAGTTTCCCCGGAATTCAAGCCTTCATTTTGTGCCCCGTCCACCTCCATAGTCCTTCACACCCCTCCTGTCCTCTCCCCCAAGTACAAAGTCCCTGGGACCATTACCTAAGGCTGGGTCTGCAGAGTCAGTGAGCGGCGGGACAGAGCCTTGCTGACCGAGCTGAAGCACCCCCAAGCACCCTGGGGTTTATAGCGGAGCCTCGGCCCCGCCCCCCAGGGGTGGGGAGGGCCAGAGAATTCCTTTCTCCAACCTAGAGTCCCAGCTCCGAGGCTGCCCTGCCCCCACTCTGGCTCCACATTCAGGATCCTGGCACCTCCTGGCTGCTTGGGGACCCCTCCGCCCCATCAGCACTGCCTTGAACCCAGGCTGGGTCAGGTGACCTCCAACCTCTGGGCGCCCCACCTCCCTTCCAGCAGGCTGCACTCTATGCTTTGAAGTCCCTGTGCTCAGCACATAGTAGGTCCTTGGAGAATATTTATTGACAAAAGGAGTAGAAGGAGCGCTTTCTCTTATATGGCTCTGGTTCCGGTCTCTCGGTCTCTCCGACACTGTCCTTCTTTCCTTTGTCTCTGTGACTCTCCATCTGTGTGTCTCTGTCTCCCCCCTCCCCACCCCCACCCCTTTGTCTGCCACCAGGATTCCACCCTGGTGACAACAGGCGCTAAAGCGGGGAAGCAGGTGTGGGTCGGGGGAGGGGAGAGGGTGTGGTGTCAGGCCTGCTCGACCTCACACTCCCCCACCTCCATCTGACACTGATCTGTTTTGGGATTCCTCCCCACCCTTTCCCTGCCACGCCATGACCTTGAACTCTAGGGGAGCCAGCCACCCCTCCTGCTTCACCGTGTCTCTGTCTCTCACTGTCTGCCATCTCTATGTCTATTTCTGGGCATTTCTCTGGGGGTTCTCTCTGGGTCTGTTTCAGGCTCTGTCTGCATCTCTCCGCGTCTGTGTCTTTCACTCCCCTTGTCTCCCCGTGCATTTTTGTCTCTGCATTACTGTAGGTGAATCTGCCCCTCTCGGTATCTGTCTATTGGTATCTGTCTGTGACCCCGTTTCTGTCTGTCTTTGTCTCTGGATCCGTGTCTCTTATCTTTCTGTCTCTTTCGGGGGCATCCTTCCCCATGTCTCTGCCATTCTCCCTCTTTGGGTCCCTATTTCTTTCTTTCAGTGGTCTCTGGGCTTTTGGTATACATCTGCCTCTCCATTGTCCCTTTCTTTGCACATCTTTCTAGGAATCTCTGTCTTTTCTCCCTCTCTGTGGGTCTCTGGCTCTCTCTGTGCCTGTGGGTGTCTCTCTCTTTGGGCCTTGGTCTGAGCCTCTCTGCACCCCAGGTGCAGCAGAAGAGCTGAGAACGCACCAGCTCTGCTCCTGTGGTGTGGTGTGGCTTGGGGGGCCCTCCCCTCTGTCCTCTCATCTCCCTCACACACCCCCCCTCCCCCAGACAGCAGACGTGCAGCCACTCCTAGCTCAGAGAGAAGGTTTATTCCTCCGGGACACCTGCAGCGCTAGGGCAGGGGGCAGGCCGGCTCAGCCTTCAAACTTTTTCTTGCGGCCCTCCATTCCACTCAGCGCATCGATGTTCTTACGCCAGTCTCCCACCTCCCGGTTTTCCTGGAGGAATGGGGTCAAGGGTTAGGGTCTCTCCCTGGTCTACAGTCTCTCAAATATCCTCCGCCCACCCTCCAGCCTGCTGGGCCACTGTGTTTTGGATGTCCATCCCGGAATCTGGTTCTGGAACACTTCTCGTCCCCTCAGGCAATCCCGTCAAATTTGCCCCCACGCCCATCCTGTCTAACACACGCACTGCGGGCCTCCTTGCTTATGTCTCTTCCTAGGAGACTCTGCGTCTTCCCCTTCTTGTCTCCCCCATGCACTACTTTTCTCTCTCATGGACTTCCTGTAGACCTCACACACTTCCTGACTCCTTGCTACTTCCTTTCTCCCTCATGCACTTCCTGGCTTCCCCTTCTAGTTTCTCTCTTCCTCTTGCACTTCCTATGCCCCTCCTACAGTTCCTATTGAGGACCCCTTACCAGATTCTTCTCCCCATAACTCCAAGTATCATCTGCCCTGAGTTGAGGCCCTAGGACTGTTGTCTCCTCTGAGCACCCCCTTCCCTGGCCCGAGCCACACTCACCTTCTCTGTGTCCTCCTTCTTCACCTGCTTGAGGTGGGCCCGCAGGTCTAAGGTCTCCTTAGCCCTGGCACCCAGCAGTGCCTGCATCATAGCATCCGCAGAGATCCTCACCCTCCGCAGGGTGGGCCGCTTAAATTTGCCCCGAAGGTCAAAGATCTTCTGGGTCAGATCTGCGATCTGGGAGCAGCCATAAGAGGAGGTGGAGACCCCCCCACTCCACCTCCCCCAGCCCCATGCTTTCACCCTACATTTCCCTCCTATCCCTCTCCGAGCCTATGGAGGCCTCATCCAGGCTCAGCTCCCACCGCCTTCGGGAAAAATTCCAAGGGCCTCATCCAGTAACTCTAAGTCCTCCCCGATCTGTCCAGTCTCCTCTCTGCAAAGGAGACACTGACACATCCCGGTCCAGCTGTGTGCATCCCACAATTCCCTGAGCCATGCCTGAGCTCACTCATCAACACTCGATGCTCCGGCTACACATTTCCACAGACACATCTTCGCTTTTTCATCTCCTGGCTTTTGCATGCTGTTCTGTCTGCCTGGAACAGCTTTCCCTAACCACTCTATACTCATTCTTCTGCCCCGTCCCTTCCAGCCCCACAGAGCTGTCCTGGGTCTCCTGGCGTCTGCACCCACACACAGCTGCAAGGGGACAGGCACCAGACCCTACCCTGAAGAGACCGAGACTTCCCAATGTCCCCCACCTCCGTGATGTTCTTGGTGACTTTCGCCTCCACGTCGTATCTCTCTTCATCCACTTTGTCCACGCGGGCATGGAGTTGTCGGCACAAGTCCTGGTCAAGGAGTTGTGGTATATGTGGGGGGGGACCCCGAGTCCTGAGTCTGAAGGAGGAGGGGCTGGGGGTCTGGACATCTGGTCCTGGAGGAATAGTTTGAAGCTGGACTCTGGGGCAGCTCGAACAAAGGGTGCTAGGAGCCAAGAGTCCAGAGAATCTGAGGGAACTGGGACTGGAGAAATCAACCTCTGGATTTTGAGACTGTAGGCAGCTGCAGGCCATATTTCTGAACTCCTGAGGGTAAGGATTGGGAGACTGGACCCCAAGGTCTCCAGCAGAAGTGGGGCATAGTGACCAGACCCGTGAGTCCCAAGGATGCAAGACCGGCCATTAGGAACCTTGGATCCCCAGCTGGGCAGGAGTCCCTGCTGAGAGCGGGTACCTGCAGCTCCGCGAAGCCCAGCCCGGCCAGCTCCAGGGGCTGGCACCGCGTGCTCAGAGCGCGCCCCTTCTCTCCGCGCCGCTCCTCCGCCTCCCGCTCCAGCTCTTGCTTCGCAATCTGCAGCATCAGGGTCTGCGGAGGGGAGGCCAGGCGCCGCAGCACCCCCGGGATAGCGGATGAGGGCTGCGCCGCACCGGGGAAGCCGCCCTGGCCGGGACAGCCCTCTCTCTAGTCCCAGGCCCGGTCAGCTGTCCCACAGAGACACTCCCCCTCAAGGTCGGGTCCATCGTTCCAAGGCGGCTCACCACAAGCCCCGCCGCTCGCCACGGAGGCCCCGCCCCCCATGCACCCAACCCCCAAGCTCTGCCCCCTGAGGACACCTAGGAGCCCCCTCCAGGCCGGCACCTTCAGCTGCAGTTTCCTCGAGGCGGAGATCTTGGACTTTTTCTGCCGGGGTGGAATGGAGCAAGGGACAATCAGGGCGAGGAATGGAAGACGGACGGTGGGGGCGGAGGGGGGGCCTCACAGCCACTCCCTCACACCTGGTCCAGCCCCGAATCTACGGGAAGCCACGCCCCTCATCCCCATTCACCAATCCTGGCCCCTGACTGGTTAGGCACCGCCCTCTCTACCCTAAGCAGTCGCAGTTCCCACGGGCAACGGAACTCCGCCCATAGGCAGGTCTCACCAATCCGAGCCCTGCCTCTGCAAAACCCCGCCCTTGAAGCGCGCCATCCTCCTAGGCTCCGCCCGCGACCAAAGCCCCGCCCCGTCTGAGGCTCTGGCCCCGCCCCCACCCCTAGGTGCCGCCCGCCTCTGTGGACTCCGAACCCAGACCCGCGCAGCCCCGCACTCACCTTGGCGTGCGGCTCCGTGGCGTACGCGCGGTAGTTGGCCGAGGACCGTCGTCGGATCGGGGTGGGAGCGGGGGGCGGGCACCCCTCCTGGGGTTGGGGGAACGGAGCCGCGTCACCGCCGGGCCCCCCACCCCCCCACCACGTGTCCTGGGGTTGCAGCCTCCTGCCCCAGGCCCCTCCCTGCTGCGCCCCTCCCCCGTTGGTCGCCCCCGGACGGTGCCCGCTCTCACCGCATCGCTGCTCCTGGAGGGAGAGACAGGGAGGGGGGATTAATGGGGGGCTGTGTCCCGTCCTGTCTAAGGGACTCCGGCCCACCAGCTCCCCCATCCTTGGGTCCTAGGGGGTCTGAGTCCCAAACTCTTCCCTCGTGCAGACACCCAGGGATCCTGTCCCCACCTCCCTTCTCAGACCCTGTGTCCACCTCCCACCGCCTCAGGCCTCGGGAGTCCGAGTTACCAAGCTGCACTCACTCGTCCGCCATGCTGAGACTCAGGCCAGGGGTTGCAGGAGGCAGAGAAAGGGCAAGGGGCGCTTGGAGGGTCAGTGAGGGCGCGTCCGGGGTGACCTTGAAGGCCCCCGGGGTTTCGTTCTCCTCCGGGCTGCTCAAACTTGACTGAGGACACTGAGACAAGTGGCGTGGACTGAGACTAAATATACTGCTGTCACCTCCTCCCCCTGCCTGGGATGCGAGATAACTGGGGCGCGTGAGGGATGGGGTGGGCCGGGCCGTGCTCCAGCTGGATCACCCTTCCACCTTGGCGGCCTGGGAACTCAGACCCAGGAGTCCAGGCCCCCAGCCCCCTCTTCCCTCAAACCCCGGGAATCCAGGCCCCCAGCCCCATCCTCCTCCCTCAGACCCAGAAGTCCAGGACCCCAGCCCCTCCTCCTCCCTCAGACCCAGGAGTCCAGGGCCCCAGCCCCATCCTCCTCCCTCAGACCCAGAAGTCCAGGCCCCCAGCCCCCTCCTCCCTCAGACACAGGAGTCCAGGCCCCCAGGCCCTCCTCCCTCAGACCCAGGAGTCCAGCCCCCCATTCCCCTCCTCCCTGAGACCCAGGAGTCTGGGCCTTATCCCCACACTAAACTGCAATCTTCATAAGAACTATGGTCAGTTTCTGTATCCCAAACTTGTTAGCCAGTCAATAAATTTTGTTGATTTATTTGAGGATCCAGACATGGTCCAGACTCTCAGGCAACAAAAGCATGGAGAAATCCACCTCTAGTTCACTAGGAACTAGGTCTCCTCTCTTGACCACCCCAGCACAGCCCCTCTGCCAGCCCTGGAGACAAGACTGAAGACCAGAAAGACACATGGGCACACGAAGAAGAGGACCCTGGCTCTCTTTACTTGGACAGTGTGGGTGTTGAGCGGCCCTGGAGAGCAGATTCCCCCAATCCCCAGGAGGCCACACAGAGGGCCTAAGACTCAGGGCCGGATCTCTGTAGGCGGTGTTTAGAGTCGCAAGAGTGGAATACATAACTCTGAAAGAACAATCTAGAATTCTAGGAACAGAATATAGAACCCCAGGTAAGTAATCTGAAATCCTAGCAGCACCTCTGGAGCTGCCTAAGACTGCTGAGAATACAACTGAGTATTCTAGAGGTGGGCTCTAATTCCAGGACCTGACTTTACAAGTCAGAGATGGGGGACCGGGCATCTGGCAGTGGAGTCAGACTCTCTGGTTTTGGGGTCTGATTCTCTGTGGGTGGCGCCGGAGACTCTGGGGGCTGCTTGAGGCGCCCAGAGGGTGGGGTCCTGCGTTCCAGAGGCTGGCCCTGGTCCTCAAGGGGCGGGACCAGGACCTCAGGGGGCGGAGTCACGGAGCCCACAGCTGCGTCAGGGCGGTGGTAAGCAGAGTCCGGGGCCTTGTAGAAGCGTGCGAAGGTCTCTGAGGGCCTGGTCTGGGGCCGGGGGGTGAACCCAGCCGCCTGAGCCAGCTCCCCGACCCGGGTGGCAAACCCCTGCAGCTGCTCCTGCCGCAGGTCCACCAGGTACCTGAAACCAGGAAGGGGCCCGTTAGGGGTCCCGGCTTTCAGCCCTCAGCCTGGACGTTCCCTGCCCTGCCCTCCGCTGGCTCACCGGGCTAATTCCACCACCAGGCGTCCTCCAGGGGCCACGCAGGCCCCGAGATCGGGGCTGAGAAGATGCACCATCCTGTGCAGAGGAAAGGGAGGGCCAAGACTGAGACTTTCAGGTCCTGAGGGAGGAGTGGGGCTGGAGGATCCGGACACTGATTAAGGAGGGGCTGGGAGCCAGGACTCCTGGGTGTAAGGGAGGAGGAGCTGGGGGAGGGAAGTCTGGGAAACTCTCTCTTACCCACAGGCCACATAGAGAAGCTGGAACCGTTCCTTGTAGCAGGTCCTGTGGTGAAGGGTCTGGGCAGAGCCCAGAGGCAGGAAGTGCACATTGAAGAATTCCGGGGCAGGGGCAGCTGGGGAAGAACTGGCAGAGTTAGGCAGACACACAAAGCTTGGAGAGAACACTCCTTGCCTGTCCTGAAGCCCTTTCTCGTAGATGGATTCCTGGAAAACTCTGGGAAGGTCAGCCCGGCAAGCAGAGACCCATTTTACAGACTAGGCAACTGAGACCCAAGAGAGGGGCACCTGGGTGGCTCAGTCATTAAATGTCTGCCTTCGGCTCAGGTCATGATCCCAGGGTCCAGGGATCGAGCCCCGCATTGGGCTCCCTGCTCGGTGGGAAGCCTGCTTCTCCCTCTCCCACTCCCCCTGCTCTCTCTCTGTGAAAGAAAAGAAAAGGAAAGAAAGAAAGAGAAAGAAAAGAGAAAAGAAAGAAAGAGTGGATGGCCCATGGCCATACAGGGTATCCACATACCCAGGAAGAGCCAGGTTGGGGGACGGTTACAAGAGAGGCATGACCAGAATGAGGTGAGCTGGGACCCAGCACCTTGCTAGAATGTTCTGTCTCTTAGACTTCTGCAGGTAGGATTAGAATTCTACTGTTGGACTTCAGAATGATAACATGGTGTCAGAATTTAGGAAAGAGAGAGAAATACAAAGAAACAAAAAGACAATGTCAGGAATAGGAGATCACTTATTCAGACATTGGAAACCATATTGGTAAGCACTTGCACATTAAATACCTGAATCTCAGGATGGGGGTCTGGGTCCCACTCTTCCCCAGAGGATGATGTGCCCACTTTACCACCCAACTGCCATTTCAAGGGGGTGAGCTGACGCCGACGCTTACGCTCTGGGCTTCCATCCCCGTCTTGGTGCACCTGCTTGGGGTTTCCGAGGGTGTTTCTCGGGCGCCCCCAGGCGGCCACCTCTCGGAACAGCTCCGTCACATTGTGCTGAGTGATCTCACCAGCGGTCTGGGGAGAGAAGGGGCGCAGCCAGGGTGACAAGGCAGGGCCTAGAGCAGGGCCCTGTGCTAGCTTGGATTTCCAGACTGGGTTTAGAAAGTACAGAGAGGCGGGACCTTCCCCAGCCCCACAACCTCCAGCCACACACCTTGACTGGCTGTCCGTTGCTGGTCCGTAGGAGGCTGTCATCATCCGCTTCAATGCCAAAGGCCACGAATGGCCCCGTGGCGATGTCCCCCCAGTACCCGCGCGCTGCAACACGCTCTCCGTGCTGGGAAAGCAGGGAGAGAAGAGGCAGGGGAGGTCAGTGTTGGAGACCCCGGTTCCTGTGTCCCCGGAAAGGACTGGCCAGGACAGGGAGTAGACACGCACATGACTCAGGAGACGACCCGACGCAAGGGTCCGGTTTGGCACGTGGTAGGCGCTGGAGTCTCTGAGTTCAAAGGCGACGCCCGTGTCCCTCCAACGCCGGAACTCGCGAGTGTGGATGACTCGGGCCTGGGTAGGAGGAATGGACAGAGGTCTAAGCAAATCTGGTATATGGGCCCCCAGCCCCTCCTCCCTCAGTCCCAGGAGTCTGGGCCCCCAGTCCCCCTCCCAGCCCCCTCACCCCGCGGTCGTGCAGCTTCATGTGCAAGTCCCAGTCGCTGACACCGCGCCGGGCGTCGTAACGGGAGCCCAGGTAGTGACGCAGCCTGGAGTCCCAGAGGCGGCTCATGGGGAAGGCCTCGGGCCCCTTCTCCCCGCCGGCCCAGAAGCGGAACACAGCCTCCAGGGCGTCGCGCTCGCGGAACTGCACGGCCAGCATGCGTGGGGAGACAGCGAGGGAGAGGGGGCTGCAGGGAGAGCGGTTTCTCCCGCTTTACCCTCCCTTCCATCCCAGGGCGTGGGAACCATTCTCCCATTTCTCAGATGAAGAAACTGAAGTTCAGAGAGGAGCAGCCACCCCCTAGGTCACATCCCACACTGGGAGCCGGGGAGCTGGGGCTCGAACTCCATCAACGAAAACCCTTTGGGGCTGCCCATTTCCATTCTTCCCGTGGCCATCCGGATCCTGGGCGGTGACGGCACCTTGAGGGCGTCCAGGCTGAGCCACGGCAGCTGCTCCGCCAGGCGGTCGGGCTCCGGGACCAGGTGCGCCAGGCGGTTGGCCTGGGCGCGCACGAAGGCGGCCACCTGGGGGCGCAGCAGCGCGTTCCCCCACACCTCCAGGAAGGTCTCGCTCCTCTCTGGGGGGGGGGGATTAGTGGGGGGAGCAGAGGAGGGAACCCAGAAATGAGACCCGTGTGGATGACGCATACCCTCTTTATAGTAATCTTATTATGTCATAGTCATGTGAGCACTAGGGACACTGGCCAACTCCTCATCCATCCCTCAAACACAAAGAATAACTTACACCTAACCTAGGCCTCCTTCTAGTCTTCCCCACCCTCCAGGTGAGCCCAGTCCTGAATTTCAAGTTCAAATTTTCCTTGCCTTAAAAAAGAAAACGTTATATATAGATAGGGACGGAAATGGAGATTTATGCGTGTTAAAATAGTACAGTGTTAAATTGTTCCATTTTAGTTAGGAATCTTACAAGAGAACTATATACCTTTAGTTGTATATACATATACATCTATATCAATGTATCTCTATCAATATGTAAATTGTTTCATTTAGTGGTTTAAGAATCTTACAAGCTATATACCTTTAGTTAGATCTAGTTGTTTCAGAGCCTTTTACAAGGTGCGCTGTGAAATGTGTGCAGCGTATTGTGAATGCTCTGGGCTATTAATGACAACTACCATCCATACTCGTGATAACAATAATCATCACTAAGAGGTACTGAGTCTGTATCATAAGCCAGGAGCTATGCATTTTTTTTTAATTGAATCCTCACAAGAACTCTATGGGAAAAGAACTTTTAGGATCTCCATTTTATCAATGTAGAAACAATGTAGGCCCAGAAAGGGGCAGGTACTAGCCCCAGGTCACTCAGCAAGCACAGCCTGAATTTGAACAGACTGTCTCAGTCCAGACTTTGCTCCAGGCGTTAAGCCGAAGTCATTGCCACTGAGAAATCATCATCCCTGCGTCCCTGCCCAAATCCTCCTCCTCCCCTCCTTTCAGGGCTGCCTCCTCAAGGCAGACTCTCTGGGATTCATGTCTCTAACTGAGGCTACTGCTACTCAGGCCTGTGCGGAGGCTTTGCAAAGGACTGAGCTCAACACTCAGGCCTGTGGGGAGGCTCTGCAAAGGACTGAGCTCAGCACTCAGGCCTGTGGGGAGGCTCTGCAAAGGACTGAGCTCAGCTCGGCCAAACCTTCCCCACATC